CATTTGGTCTACAACCAAGATAATCGTCGAGATCTTCATAATACGGGCATGTTTTTGGGCTATTTCCTGTTTTATTATTTGCATCTTTGCTCTTGCGGTAGTTTAATAATAAATTATTCCATTTGTTCTTCAACTGAATCCATGTATAGCCGTATCCCAATTCAGACAAATCTGAAGCAATTTTTTCCCATACTGATTTCTTTTTTGTAGATGGTTTGTTGAACAGGTCCTGATATTTTCTGTGTCTTTCTATCAGGAGCAAAGTTGCCTCTTTTGACATACATGTACTAGAACCGATACTGGAACTATTGGAATTAGCTGTGCTGCATGAAGTTAGAGATTTGGAACAAGCAACCATTTCTTTATCAGACCCTGTATCTCTAAGGCTGTTTTTCTCTGCATTAATATCATCAATAGACTTTGGATCTATAAAATAAAACAATAAAAAATAGATGATAGATAGAGATGGCCTACTAGATTTTCAATTATTACGTTTTTATTTTCAAAAATAGTTGACCAAGAAAGATGATTTATAAGTAAATACACCGCCGCCGCAAAACATAAAACTTTAAGGGGAAAACTTTGGCTATGCTATGTTACCTCTCTTTATTACTTCTTGACATCATTATCGAAGTTCATGTAAGGTCATGGTTAAAGCCAGGCCAAGCCTATTTTTGTCAATGACATCAAAAAGATGAATGCTAGGATATATTATTTGACATTACCATTAGTAAGACGTGTAACTTGCTCTGGATTCATAACATAGACGACTCCGTCATATTCTACGTTAAAATTATCATCTGTACAAAAATTAGCCGCCATGATAGTTTATGACGTCATACCTAATTCAAATCGCCAAATCGTCCTTCGAGAAGATTTGGCGATTTGGTGCAAACTGCTTTGGATTTGGGCTGAATAAAGATCCAACAAATTTAAATCGCTTTGAATTTGGTGGCCGATAAATATGTTTTTCAGTCATAGACCAAATCGATTAGCCAAATCGTATGTCGTTAAATATGCCTAAAATCATACCTTAAGGGGCCAAAAAGGTGACGATAGGGTATCCTCTTCAATCAGAGGCTAAACTGGAAAATCGTGGTATGGCTCAAAATATTTTTTCTAATAGTGCTAGATTAGACTAGGAAAGTTAAACGTTTATATGATTGGCGTAGACTGAGGTAATGCGCACGGCCAAGACTATACAGTGTACAACGAGGGGAATGTCACTCGCCTCCATTTCTAAAGAAAAATATAAAAAATTGAGCATTTTAATCAGAAAATTTAACACTACATTTACAATTCAAATCGATAAGTGACTTTAATTTGTACAAATAGCGTTGCCTATCCGTAATTTATACCATTATCCCTATTACCCGAGTCTCAAAATATATTTCAATTTTTCACACTTGGAAACATTCTCAAGTAAGTCCTATTTTCTAATCGTAGAGCGAGTGATCGCTTGAACTTTTCGTTCACTTATTGCTAGAAAGCTTATAATTATGTTCCTTCACCATTAAATATATATATGTCACACATTGAATTTTAGTGTAACCCCTTCGTACACAAACTAATAGAGATGCCTTGAGAGGCATAGTATTCACACAGTCCTTTTAATAACATGGTGGTACCAATACAGGGAGTAGTGACGTCACCATCATATTCGTCGGATTCGCTGCTACTGCTATCGCTGCTTGTCACATCTGAAAATAATTCGATGGATTAAACTATAAAGGGATTAATACCTCTAGTTATTCAGTTCCAAATGTAATTGAGTCCCATTGTGTCCTATCATCGTATCCAATATAAACCGGTATTCATATCACGAGTACGCATATTTACATCTACTCCGCTGCAAACCTGTAAATCATCTTACGCATTCTCGTTACTATATTTATTCTAGGCCTATAAATTCATCCTGAACTTTGCTTCCGTCAGTTTTTATCTCAGTCTGAACTTGTCTAAGTGTCAAGGCAGGGCGACCTTAGCAACTTTTTTTGAAGAGATTACAATAAATTCGAGCTTCAACTGTCATTTTTTTATGTTCGTACTCGTATATTTGACAATGCGACGCATCAATATTCCGTTTTTCACTTTTCATTCTAAATCTTTTGAGGAGACTGGTCGAGTCACATGCTTATCTCATATTCACAATGGTCAAGGCATTGCAAACTTCGTCTTATACCTTGACTATATCACGGAATACAGCAATTTAATTGGATTGTACATTAGCAGATATGACCAATCATAGCCCTCGACAGACAGACTGTAAATATTCGGGACTTTTATTGGCTGTATTCGCCAACGTAAAGTCCAACCAAAGCGTTGCATTTACAAACTTTGACAATTGATTAATCGATGTGCAAAAGGAGGAGAATTTTTACATACATCTTGCTATTTTAAAATCTGCGCATACAGTCCCTTTAACATATTTTGTTTTTAAACGTAAGTCGAATTTTCGACGAGTATATTTTGCAATTGAAGAAAATTTATTTTTTGCCTCAACTATCGGTTCTTTTCAGAAAAATGACGGTGCCTTAACGAATTTCAATGACTTCCATCTTTGCAAAGCGTTAGGCCATGGGAATCCGGTGAAGGAGATATACAACCGCCAATTATTGATACCTTTAAGCGTGAACGGATTTCTGCTCCTCGTTTCTAGAAAAAAAACTCCCTTACCATACTCGGTTCCCGGATTGAGTGGTCCGAACTGACCATTCACATGGAAAATCAACAGAATCCAAAACCAGGACACGAGAAGTCTAAAATTCAGCACCTCCATTTCAAACCTCTCTGTCTTCCCAGCCTGTCTTCCGAGAATGAACGATCATCATAAAGCCAAGCCGTGATATTTTTTTTTCATTTTTTCAGTCCTTATAAATCATAATGGGGAAAAATGGGCATAAACTTGTCAAGGAATAATGCAAAGATGACATGAAATGGGGTAAAAAATGGTTGCCTCATTTCGTCAGCTCTCGTGACAGCTGTCATCATGAGGTTTCGTCATCAACTGATGCAAGTGCAAGTGATATAAGTGTTATTTTGACGGCATATTGCGAGGCCCGAGAGTGCAGTTACGTTACGCATCAAAACTGCTTTTCAAAGTTTTAGTTTTGTGAGATATTTTGGCAGTGTTCTTGATTTTGGTCTTTTATGGCCACAAAAAAACTTCAATTAATCTGAGCGATCTGCTAGTTAGTTGGATGCGATAGTTTAGTACATTTAGTCTCATTTTGATCACAATAAAACAGTCATTGCGCCACGTAACCTGCTAGTTAGTTGGACATGATAGTTGGGTATGCTCTAGTGTCAATCTGACCACAGAAAACTGTCATTGTACCAAGCAATCTGCTAGCTAGTTGGACACGATAGTGTAGCACGCTCTAATCTCATTCTGACCATAGGAAACTGTTAATGTACCAAGCAATAAGATGGGTTGTAAAATAACAATGGACACATGAAAAAAATAACTAATTTCTATAACACAACAACTTTCAATCCGGAACACTTTTCACTACTCTAATTATGTGTTACATTCAGAGAGTTTACATAGCTAACTACATGTATATAACTTAACGTTTTTGTTCATCTTAACTGGACGAATTATATTTTCGGATGGACAGCACATGCAAACCAGTTCAATGTTCTCAACTCCACCCCATTCGGGGATGGTCAACAGCTATACTAACTAAACTAAAACACTTTACCTAGCCCCTGATAGGTATTTTTTACATTTGCATTCTAAAAAAGTACACGTAAATTTCCATCAACTTCAATAAGATGCGAGCTGGCATAATTCCACTATCTGTATACAACCCCAAAAATGCCCAGACCTTAAGGCACTGGTGCATGTTCCCAGAGTATTCTGGAGAGAAAAAAATTGAACGCGTATTATGTTCTCGGAATGTTCTGGAAAATAAATCGAACAAGTATATGTTCTCGGAATGTTTTTGTAGTCAAAATCAAACATGTTAGTGGAACGGAGAAACAAATCAAATAGATACACGATCTCAGAATGTTCTTTGATAAAAAACTGAACATGTATTATAATCTTCTCGGAGCATTCCAGTAGTCAAAATCGAACAGGTACAATTTCTTGCAATGTTCTGGAGAACAAAGCGAACTCGTATGATTCCAAGAATGTTCTGGACAGACAATAGAACGTAGATGAGCTGGAATTCTAATCGAGTTTAGAATCAACTGTAGTGGTGGCAGTGGTTTCGTTGTCCCCTTCCGGTTCGACTCGATTCAGGGACGTGTTGCATTCTTCCTTCAGTTTTTCAAATGCTTCTTTTAACATTTTTCGCTCCTCTTCCGATTCTCTGAGGGATGCTTTAGCCTGGAATAAATCAAAACACTTATAGGCGGGTGGAAATCTCTATCGGTAATTGCTATTCGGAGCTGATTTCAACCACATAGTAGTATTTGTTCAGTAATAATGGACCGAATGTTCAAATGCAATGACTTTAAGTGTCATGGGTCCAAATCCCCCCAAGTTAGCCGAAAAATCTGGCCCTATCCCAACCGAATGTCACGTCCAAGGAATGGGCCAGATTTGTCGGACTATCCTCAAGGTAAGAACAATTCTGATGCTACGGTCATTGCTTTCGGAGTCGATCACGACTTTCGCCGAATCAGGATTATGTTCGTACCTACTAGCATCTCTATGAAATATTGGTTCTAGTGAGCCATAAATCAAAACCCAGAAATAGATAACGAGATGCCCTGGTGACACTTTATTGCTGGATCAAAAAGACGATGACGAGAGACGCGTTGACTATTAATCAATTGATGTCACTCTTTAATAGGTATTAGATACGTTTTATTGGTTAATGAATATGCATTAGTCTATTTCAAGTATCAGGTTCAATATTCGAAGCCTTGTGTGATACTCACGAACACAAAATTCCGTGACAAATTGGAATTAAAGAAGTAAGTGTGCGAAATTGTATGCCTTCTTTGACAATGATGGCATATTTAAGCTAGTCAAGAACCGTAATTCATAAAACCCTTGATCGAAAATGATCAAAGTCGAACGAGTCATTCAACGACTCATAAGATATTTCGGACTATGGAGCGTTTCGTCGTATATAAAACATGTCAAGGGCAATAACTCAAAGAAACCATTAATCATTAAAATTCGAGCTCATGCAAGAGATTTCATACCAAGCTTCTAGTTCGTTGACAATCAAATATGAAAATGAATTGCGACTTAGTTACATGGGCTAGAATCACGTCCAAAAAAAAAAATACAGAAACTCGTGCATCGCCCAATGCTTTCGGTAGTCGACCCTGTACTTGCCTCTTTGAGTTTAATCTCTAAGGAAGTGATCTGTGCATTAGGGACAGCTGTGGCTGGCTGGTCGACCGTCATCGTCATCTTTGTTTTCGGTTCCATTTCAGGATGTATCTGATAGTACCGATACGCCAAGATCTGAAAAGTAAAAAGTGATACGGTAAATTTATTACACACATTCAATAAAATGCATGTTTAGACGACTATGTCCCTTTAATTAAATCCTTTGTGAAACGATACATTTCGTTCGTCAATAAATCTCAGAATCGAAGTCGATTTGTCATCTCGCCGTCCCTTTCAGAGAGTCTACATAGCTTATAATGCTAATCTGGTATTTAGGTTTGTCAAATCGACATTTCCAACAGAGTCCACATAGCTATTAATTGTTTATTTTTTGATTAGGTTTGTCAATTCAGCATCCATTATAGCTACAATTGTTTATTTTGTAAAAAGGTTTGTCAACTCAGCAATGTATATTTGGTGTTGCATTAGGTGTGGATGTACCATAATTACAATGTGTATCCCTCATTTATAAATGTCAGGGTGGGCTATTTAGGGAAGTATTGTGACAGTCGATATCTCTATTTTCTTGACAGCTATATGGTGGCTTTTAGAGGCCAATTTGCGACATATTCAGACAGCTATATGGTGGCTTGTAGCGATCAATCCGTGTCATATTAGACAGCTATATGGTGGCCAATTTGCGTCGAGTTCAGACAGCTATATGGTGGCGTGTAGCGGCCATCTTGCGTCATGTTCAGACAGCTTTATGGTGGCTGGTAGGAGCCATTTTGCACAATCTGATCGCGGCCGTTTCGCAATATCTTTCGATAGATCTCTAAGGTGGCTAATGGTGGCCATTTCACACAACTTAGACAGCTCTATGGTGGTTTGTAGTGACCATATACCATCATCTTCACACAGCTATATGGTGGCTAGTAGCGGCAGTGTCGCATCATCTTCAGTTCTTGACGTAAGGGCATGATAATACATATTCCTTATGTCACATGATTTCAAACCGACCAATCAACAAGCTACCAAGTAACTATTTTTACGTATTGTTATGTAAATAAACGAAAAATTAAATTTATGCTTACCTTCGGGACGAATATTAGACATTCAGTGACAGTCGTTGCTAACAAAACAACAGCCGAATCTAGCGAGTACCGTAGATTTATATTGTCCCCTAGGGCGAAGGATACGGTCACCCCTAAAATACTCAAAACCACGACGTTATATATACACACTCCGATTAGCTTACTGTCGTTTAATGCTTCTATTTTGACCTGCAAAGAAGATATCAGAAATATTTGCTGATAATATAACAGAAAAGATTTGAAAAAAAACCTAAAGAATCAGGCCAGTGCACCTTGTGTTTAGTTACCCACGTCTGTATCCATAAAAAACCTTCTCCATTGCACACTGCATAGCGATGACCGCCTTCATGTTCGTTGAAATGAGCCAACTCCATTGCACATTGTAGTGTGCTGCCTTCACGTTCGTTTAAATGGCGTACGACGTAGGCCTCCAGTCTTGTCATTTATTTTACTGCCCTAATGTGGTCTCAACTGGACGTAAAAAACTTTGTGTCGTCTCGATTGCACACTGCTTTGCGATAGTCCCTGTATGTTGGCTTTTAAAGGAGTTTTCCCACCATTTCACAAGCCTGATTGAGTCGTATATAGATGTTAAAATTCCATTTTATTGTAATCGTTATATTAGCCTACCTTCCGTGTTTCCCAGGCCAGAAATGCTCCAAGCAGCATGAGAATTCCCTGAATTCCAAACAGAGTACCAGTATAGTAAATTTCGTTTTCTGACGTACAGGCACTGTAGTCTTTTCTTATTTCATAGTCGTCCACTTCGTTAACCTTCAAGGAGGATCAGAATTTAAAATACGTCGTCTTCAACAAATAGTTGTCATGAGTTCTAATCTCAGTCGGCGTGAAAAGTCATTTTCCCTCATTATTCCTGTCGAACAAGCCGTAAAAGGGTACGGATAATCCAGGAAAGATTAGTGCCAAGAGGTTTGGCCAAAGACCAGCTGGTAGAAGGGATTCACATGATCCTTCTTATTCTTGAAAAAAAAAGCCCTCGACGATGACGTCATAAGTGGAATATTTATAAGAGAATTATGATATTTGCCTGGCCCTCGTTTATCAAAAAAGCATACTTTCAAAACGATTACGTACCTTTAAGTTGTATTTATCAGTAAGGTTGGTACATGATAAGTGAACGTTCGCTTCCAGCGGATGCTGATATCGCAAACTATCAGTAACGGAAAAATGCTTCCTTATGTACTTACCTCCTTTGGTAAATCGTTGGTTACGACTATTATGGGATGTAAAATAGCCCAGACTATCAAGACCACCAAATTTATACTAGTTAAACCTAATACCATGAACACTAACTGGATATCCTTGACTATCTGCCAAGTGAACAAAAGATTTAACAAGGGTTTTCGAGCCAGACGACAACCATCCCTTGATATTACTGCACAAATGCTCTAACGATGCACATTTAAAGTAAGTTTACCTGGTCACATTTATAATAAATGTTGATGCTCTATTAGTGAAAGGGGTATCATGTATGATTAGAGTTATCAGAAATTAATGTGATTGGTCGACGATTCACTTCTCGACCAATCAGATTCATTGCAGCAAAATGTCACAATATTTCAAATTGTCTATGGCTATCAAATATCTTATAAATAACACAATTGCTATGTGGACAAAATGACTCGAAGGTAATGGAGATCTCAAATAATTTAACAAATTTACGATTAAAAATGAGGTACCTTTTTCTGTTTGGTAGCATTTGTAAAAATAACATGGACTCTCCAAGTTTTGGCGAACAGAGCACCGAAGGCTAGAGAAAATCCCACCGTCATCAAAAATATCTTGGCCTAAAAAAGGAATACGTGTTATTATGTTAAAAGAAAAACAAATTTTAACTTATTAACCTTTTTACATTTTTTTTTTATAAAATTGCAGGAATCAGTCTTTAAAGGACACTACCTCTTAGAATGAACATATACATGTAGTTTAAAAACCTACTATACCCATAAGACTATTACACAATTTAATGTATTAATTGGACTTCAGCGGGATTCTGTTGTATATGACACCAGGTAGGTCAACAGATGAATATATACATATTCATATAAAGTTCATTCTAAGAGGTAATTTCTCTTTAAAGATGGGGTTCCTTATTTTTTAGTGTCAAATGAATCAAACTATTTGATTAATTGGTGTTTCTAATGAATTATCATGTATTCTTAATCATTATCATTATGTTCTTATTGCATAAGTTCAGAGTTTTAACTTCCATGTATGTACAGTCTGGATAAAAAAAAAAGGACTTTTTGACCTTTCTTGATCGGTCACTCAATGGAATTCTCCTGGTAATTCTCTACTAATTTAGCTAATTATGAATTAATTATGGATATGTGAGACAAACTGGTATTTTTCCAAGTTATTAGAACACTTTCTATTCATATAAGTATTAGCATTTTCATTTTCACAGAAGCCATCTTTAAGCTGTTCAAATAGAGCTGTTAAAGCCTTTATTAAATCGAATATTAATAAACTAAAAGTCCATTATATTTGCAAATTCCGAATCTTTAAATTTGCAGGAACCATTTTTTAATGCGAAAACAGGAAACGCGTTAGAAAAGCTTTTAAAACCTGACAAGCCTTACATTGTATCAATCAATCTGCTATTGACATCTCCATAAAGCAAACAATATGAAGCCTTTTTTAACGAGGACAAATAATCAATTTTACATTTTAATAAAATACGAACTGAACCCAAAATACTTATAAACACGATACTGAAATCATGTTTTTGTGATTTTCAATAAGTAGCTTTTTTACGATTGCATTTCAAACAACCTGTATTCGACATTGTCAATGATTTAAATCATTAATTCTTGCTTTTAACACCAAAGTAGACATGAACCTTTCTGAATTTTTACCTGTGAAAGGAATTTGACCTTTAATTTTATTGAATTAACCAGGACAGCAAATCGCTTCCACTATTTTCGATATAAGACTGGAATGAACTTGACAACTGATGTCATAAGATAGTAACACGATTCCCGACTACAAGCCTTCCCCAAATAGCACACTAGCCAACTACGGTACTCTCCAATTCAATGACAACAGTTTTACTACACATAAAAGACTGGACTGATCTTGACAATTGACGTCATACGATAGCATACTACTCGACTACAACCCTCCCCTTTTTTAAAGCTATGTAGCCGTTTTACCTGCCATATAAGACTGGGCTGATCTTGACAATTGGCGTCATAAGATAGCGCACTAACCAACTACGGCCCTATAAGCCATATAAGACTGGACTGATCTTGACAATTGACGTCATAAGATAGCATACTACTCGACTACAACCCTGCTCTTTTTTAAAGCTATGTAGCAGTTTTACCTGACATATAAGACTGGAGTGGTTCTCTGTTGTATTATACAGAAATACAGTAATATAGATCAAGATACAGCCGATTAAAATCAGATTGTTTAACCTCGGGGATGACATCTTTACCACCCTGAAAAAGAAAATTCAAAAATATCGTTTCGTTTTATTACCTCTATCTCCACAATGTCACGCTATTGTGAACTTCGTCTTATACCTTGACTGTAATAGTCACTATTCTTGTATCATGGAATGCAGCGATTTGATTGGATTGTACGCCAAAAACTACAGATCTGCCGAATTTTGAATTTCTACCTCGACAGTTGTTACCCCAATTAGGCTGGTGGTTGGTAGATGACAAGTTAACGTTCACTTCCGGCGGATGCTGATATCACAGACTAGGTAGTTGTTGGTAGATGACAGGTTAACGTTCGCTTCCAGCGGATGCTGATATTGCAAACTAGGTATTTGTTGGTAGTCGTAGTAGTTGGTAGCTGGATTGCCCCAAATAGGCCAGTCTGTCCATTTTTTGTACCCCCGCCCCCAGGAGGCTGGCGCCACCACTACGTCTATTTACTCTTGAAGGAGTCAGGAAATAGGTCATTAAGGCAGGAAAGGAAGACAGTAAGGTGGGACATCGATTAACAAGATCTTAATAACTAATTAAAAATAACAAACAATACTGTTAATAAGTTGAATTAGAGAAAGTGTGAAGTATACCTTGTAACTTTCCATTATAAAAAAGACCAGTCATTAAGGCTTCATTAATAAAATTTGCTTGTTAAAGTAGAAGTAGGTGTCGATTTTCAAGCCTGATTTTATTAAAGGGATATGTTCGTCTAAATATCGTGAGAAAGTCGAAGTCATGGTCGGCTTAAAGGGTTTTAATCGTCTGAATACCGTGCTAAATGAGAGTGGCTATCGCAATGTAAGCTTCATTTTTCTGAAGTGATATCGTCTTAAAATTTCAGCCAAAAAAGCTTTACTTAACATTAATAATATTCAACTTCTTTCAAACTTATATCAAATGACTAAATAACTTTAAGGAGTGGAGCAATGCTCTTATTTCAATTATGTCCACAATCATGTCCGAACTCTTTTCGTTTTAATCAAGCTAACGAGAGGAAGGACATCATTCAGTATGCATGAAGCAAAACAACCCGAGGACATCGCAATTAGCCAATTCTTTTGGTTTAATTATGAGTACTTTTAAAGAATAAATTTCCAGCTTAGGAGCATGAGTAGGGGTAGCTGTAGAGGTGTAACACCCCCCACCCCACCTTTCATCGTGAAACTTCTACTTGATCTGTGCTTGGAATATATCTTGACCGAAACTGCCGAGAAGGTCAGAAGAGTTTCCGAAAGATCCCTGGGTTAACAATGAAAGATATCTCAAAACATACCTGGCGTTTCTATACATGATGTTGAACATAAGAAAGACAATGGCGAGGACCATACCGATACCGGATATACAACAGAAGGCCACGTATATGGAGAACGACAGCACCACTGTCTCATAATATACAATCGTTGAGTCTTTTGGTGGAAGACCACCTGAAAAATATCACATGACAGTCCTATGTCCAATTTACGAAATTTATTTTGAAATATTTATAGCATACTCTTACTAAAGTCGTAATGAAGAATTGGTAAAAAACTAATCGTGTGCTCTAGTCCAAATTTGAAACAGAAAACTATCATTGTGCCAAGCAATTTGATAGCTGGACACGAGAATAACGTACTGGAGGGCAAAAGCTCGATATCCAGAAAAATCAAGCAAGTTATACAACGCAAAAATTATTACCTGCCCAGACGACAGGTGTCTCTGGTAACCATTCTATTTTCACATCAGTTGTTAGTGTTGGATTGTAAATACCAATGGTTTCTTTCACACCACCTGCAACACAAGTTTCGAATCGTTAAAAGCGCAGGATAGGGGTGGGGGGATAGCAACACCATCGTGCAAAAGTGGACCCCCTCCAAGACCTTGAAATGAGGGGAGCAAAGCGATCATCAGCCTCCTTAAAAATTTGGCCATCAAATCTAAACTTTAATGGTAATGCTCGATGGTGAAATAAAATGGTATCAGTATCAGTGCTGTTACCTATAACAGCACAACCAAACTATAAAAATAGTTTCCATTATATCTAAACGTGTTAGTAAGGCTGGATTGTTAAAGAAAAGGGTATCAGTGCTGTTACCTATAACAGCACAACCATCCTACAACAAATAGTTTCCATCATATCTAAACGTGTTGGTAATGCTTGATCGTTAAAGAAAAAGGTATCAGTGTTGGTACCTATAACAGCACAACTGAAAGAGTATTTTCCTTCTAAACTTTGTTCGCAATGGGCTGGACCTTTGAACTATATGCAATATTCTAAAGCGCTGGAAGAAAGAGCAACACCAACGCGCTACAATGAACCGCTTAAAATTAAACCTACAAGACCCTCAAATGGGAGCAAAGCGAGTACCCAAAGTATCATTAGCAAGCACACAAAATTGTCAATCAAATCTAAACGTGTATAGTAATGCATGATCGTTAAGTATTGATGCGTGCCACTTTCATTGCTCTAGATTCTGGATAATAACTAGGACAGTAGAGCAACAACGCCCTTTATCTCGTTAAGAAAGCAACATCAAAGAAAACATTGTTATGCTTAATCAGTTCTGTTACATGAGTATTAGTGTCATATTGTATCATAAGTATATCATTACAATAAGATTATAATTTCGTTTCTTTTTTTATGACATTTTTTTACGTCTTTATGGTAATCTAACAAGATTTCCACCCCAGACGCGTTCTAATGGCATTATTTGTAACCAATCAAAGCGTGTAATATAACCCGTTTGCTGCAAACTTATTGGAATTACTTTTCGTTCCTTTTTTGATATTTTATGTCTTTATTATGATCTAACAAGTATTCTACCATATTCGCGTTCTTATGAGGTTATGTTTAACTAATAAAAGCCGGTAATGTATCACACAATCAGTCGTTGTCGCAACCTGTGTATATTAGTTTCTCGTACCAGACCTCGAGAACACGAACAAAGCAAATGTATAAAAGCAAAATTGAAATGATAGGGTGGCTTCCTTCTTTCTAATAAAAAAAAATATAGACTATACATAGAAATGATAGTTATTTTATATGATATTGGATCCAGACCTGTATTTCATTATAGTGGTTACCGCAAGGAAAAACCGCTCATCAATAAACCGATATATATCGTAGTAGTAGTTTAAACTACGCCTCTTACTAAAAGTAAATTATTTAAACCTGAAAAGCTGTTGGTCAAGGGACACTAAAGGCGAAGATGCGTGGAACTGAGCCGGTTCTTTTTTCGAATTTGCAATGAAATACATTTTAAATATCGTAAAATACAATATATTACATGTATGGGTTCTATCCACGATTACAAGTTAGATAGGGGGGGGGGGGGACGTTGTGGAATGGGCTGGGTTCGTTGAAATAGCATACGACCCTGCAGTCGCTGATAAGATAGCTGGTAAGGGAAGCAAGTTTCAGACTACTATAGAGGTGTAGCTGGTTTTGAACCGTTTCGTCATCGGAATGGCTGGTGGTGGGGTGGGGAGTTCGTCCTGACATCCCACGACTCTGTGGATGCTAATAAGGTAGCTGATAAAGGAAGCAAGTTTCAGATTTCTAGTTTAATAAGTATAATGCTGAAACAAGTTAATATCGATATAACTCGACTCGATAACTAATTATTAATAATTTGTCTTGTACTAAAACAAATAATTATAATCTAGAAACTACCAATCGGTCAACAAACTCAGTCATCTTAACGTGTACAAACAATCTTCTGAAGCTCAAGGCACATTATGGAGGCCCAAGGTGGCCAAAGTAGTTGGACGCTTGCTCGGTAACTAGAAGGATGTTTCAACCCGGGTTACCTAGTACCTTCCCGTACTTTTTAGTGTTTTCATGAAGCATTAAGTGTTTGTGTGAGGGTGATGGTGTGTGGGTGTGCGGGTGTGTGTGCGGGGGGATTTGGGATGGGTTGCGGATAGGCAAGTATGGGCAACAGGGGTTCAATTATGTTCCTCTGTAAAAAGTGAGATATCTTAAAACAGGGTGGAAAGGGCCGGGGCAAAGATGAGATAGAGTATTTCATGGGGGTTCCTCGTCCCTTCCCCCTCAACCAAGTCCCTCTATATACCCCTCCCCTCATTCCAATAACACCATTTAACCGTATAGCACATCGGTACATAATTGGTAAGTGTGGAAGATATATGTAATCATCTCCAGACCTCATTAGTGACCACCATTGATGACAATATACTCGCAACTTAAACATACAGCACAACTTGACCGATAAAAAAACAGAATTGTTATAAGTAGTTTATAATGACATGTTTATCATCGAATTGATTTCTTAGATCGAGACAACACCTTGAATGGTTTCAACCCAGTTTCGTCCTGTCAGTGATGAGGGTCGGTGGGGCTGACATGGCAAAAGCGTCCGAAATTATACATATTCATGATGTCACGTGATGTTCAAACCGGCCAATAAACAAGCTTGCAGGTAGCCATTTCAAAGTTTTGTTTTGTAAAAATGATCACACGCACGAAATACGTTAGGAATATTTAAGTACAGACAACCATTCTCGCATGATATTCAATTTCACCACTTATCACGAAGCTATTGAGGTAAAGCGAAACTCAGTCGCATCGCAAGGGGCGTGGTTGGCGTGGTTTCTATTCCGTTGATAAGAGGCGTGGCCTAGAAAAATAGAATTGACAGATTTGTAAATAAACGTTACCTTGTATTCGAACTATTCGAAGTAAGGAAACAGCATCGTGGTTCTCGTCGAAATAAATCGGCCCCTTAATTCCTTGGAAGTTGACCTTCTTCATATTTTCCAACAGGATGTGACCAAACTCGCTATCTGTGTAGGTAAAATCGGTCAAATTCTTCTGTGTGTCTGTAAAATTAAAAGTTATTTGACTTTTTACTACCGAAAAAAACCCTCGGACTGCTTAATAAGATGGTACTCTTCGGTAGTTAAAAGTCAAGTGCATTCGGATAAGCTGTTTGATCGGTAGTTAAAAGTCAACGCTATATTGCTGGAAAACATAACTTGTTGCAGCATTAACGTAGTCGATTTTGTTCGGTGATTGGAAGTTAGCTTTTAACTACCGAAAACAAAACTTTTTGTAAACGTCTGCAACTTACCGTTTCTGGCTAAATCTTCAATGGTTTCATTGAGACCAAGGGCTATAGCCCATATGGTATCATACGCCAAGGGGGACAACTTCTTTCCAAATATATTCTCGTTATTGGTGCGGTTATTGAATATGGTTTGGAACTCTTCCGGTGTGACACCGGAAATAGAGGGCGTGTTCTTAGGATTGAGGTAAATATGGTCAATTGCGATATATCCTTCCACAGCAGCCGACAATTCCTCAACGGTGCAGTCCACATTAGGGTCGGGGGTTTTCCACCAGTCGTCGTCATACCACCCGACCAATATCCAGACGACTTTAGAACCGTACAGTCCTTCTTTATACGCCTGAAAATAGACCGAAAAGACTTTTTATCATGTAACACCCTTGGCTTCAATAGCCACGCTGCAATACAACCTTCATCGGTGACGTCAAGGTATAAGACGAAGTTCGTAATAGCTTGACATTGTAAAGATGGTATTGAGCCTATCACTAGCAAACAGACTTCAAATAAATAAAAAGTCTCACGTTACACATATCAATATTTCGCCAATATTTTAAAGCGGCAGTCTGTATCACACTTTAGTTAGTAAATCGAATTGTATCGATTACTTTATGTGATCAAAGTATCGGCTTAAAAACAATACTGATAGTACATACATTGAAGCAGGTAAAACGTTTCGTAAGTTTACAGTTAATATAAGAGCAAAGTTATAATATGTGCTCATATTTGTATTTGTTCCATCGCAATGTCTTAGAATAGCACTACTTTTTAACGAACATGTGAACACAGTAGACATGGAATTCTAGCACAAGCTAGAAAGTCAATTTAAGAATACCAGAACTGTTACGAAGATAGCAATGAATGAAACTGCCTTTTGAACAGACTGTTCAATCCAAGAAAATCAGTACTGTTTTAAAGCTGATAGTCCTGGACGAAGAACAGAAATAGCGATAGATGAAATTGCCTTTGGAGAAGAATGTTGAAGCTGATAGTCCTTGAATTACAATAGGCATTGAATGTCCTTTTGAACAGAAAGCTAGAAAGTCAATTTTAGACTTCCAGTATGCTTCTATGTTGAAGCTATTAGTTCTCTACGAAGGACAAAGGTAGTGAAATATATTACCTCACAGAATATCTTCCTGGCTTTATCTGCATAAAAACCTCCGACTATTATTCTGGCATCGTTTTCCTTTAACATAAGAAATAATATAACAAATAATTGCTGAGAATAAGGACAATACATGAAGGAGTGAGTAACCAAGCTCAGATTATCTGTCTTTCAATATAGCGCCATCGTCAAAGGAAGGTTTTATAAGCCACCATCTTTGTCAAGAAAAAGACCTTCCGAAAATTGTCATTTTAACAAACTAAAATCGGAAATGCTTACCATCAAATTTTTTACTTGAACTTCAGGATCTTGTGTGAAAATTTCAGAACGAACAATGGTAAGGTTGGCCTCTTTCATCAACTCGTTTAAATTTTCGGTTACCTGAAAATCACAAAATTACATTCTCAGGTGGGCAACAGGTGTTCGATATGTATGACGACTTGATTGAATAGCCTTTGGTCGTTCACAATTTACGTTGTTATGATTAGTTTATAGAGTGATCTTTGCTTGGGATTTTATTGTATACAACGTTTCCACAAATTACATTGTCATCATGGGACAATCAAATGCACCTACTTACGGTCGAGAAGAGCTCAAACGATTGATGAATGGTGGAAACCTGCGACCATCCGAATTGTTTAAATATGTCGATCCTTGCCGGATTCACGACGACATCCGGAGCCGTGGTCCGGAAAAAGAATGGAAACCTTAATTTATCGGACAGTGATGGTGATAAAGAAACATAGGACATCTGAAAAATAGATGCAAATATTTAAGAAATCTGACAACTTAGGTTTACGAAGATCCTTACTACCAGCTGGTCCTTAATCAAACCTCTTGGTGATGTATTTATAATGATAACAACTTCTCGAGGATCCTTCCTACCAGCAGGCCCTTGGCCAAACCTCTTGGCATTGGTCTTAAAACATTAAAACAACTAGGGTTCACGAGGATCCTTTCCACCAGCAGGTCCTTGACCGAACTTCTTTGTGATGTTTTTATAAGGATAACCGCTTAGGTTCTCAAGGAACCTTACTACCAGTTTATCCTGAAGTTCGCAAGCTGAACGCCGAACCACTTGACATTGGATAACCCGTATGATAGATATTTTAGTGCAATACAAAATGACATTGAATAGGGCGTATATACTGCACAAAATCATTACATAGATTTCTTGTACTTTGCATGAAATTCCATTTCATTTCATTTCTAATCTCATATTTCAATTGAAATAGCTATAATCCAATCAAGCCATTGTATGTGTAATTCATTATGATTTTCTGCCTGACTGAAGACTATAATTTAATCCATCATATAGGAATATTTTCAATATCAGTCTTCGAAATAATCAAGGAATCACAGAGCTTGCAATAAAATGAAATGGAGTTTTACATCCGACTTTTCAATTCCTTAATGAATTATATTGCATTAACTTATTTCAATGAAGTATTATATCCTATTGTTCTGTATCTTATTGGACTAATGAAATGAAATAGAGTTTTATATCCTACTGTTCTGTATCTTATTGGACTAATGAAATGAAATGAAGTTTTATATCCTACTGTTCTGTATCTTATTGGTCTAATGAAATGAAATGAAGTTTTATATCCTACTGTTCTGTACCTTATTGGTCTAATGAAATGAAATAGAGTTTTATATCCCACTGTTCTGTATCTTATTGGTCTAATGAAATGAAATAGAGTTTTATATCCCACTGTTCTGTATCTTATTGAACTAATGAAATGAAATGGAGTTTTATATCCTACTGTTCTGTATCTTATTAGACTAATGAAATGAAATGGAGATATATATACTACTGTTCTGTATCTTATTGGACTAATGAAATGAAATAGAGTTTTATGTCGTACTGTTCTGTATCTTATTGGACTAATGGAATGAAATAGAGTTTTATGTCGTACTGTTCTGTATCTTATTGTTTATGTGCTGCTGTAGGCTATATGATAAGTTTTTTCTATATTTAACTGAAACCGAAAGATTAGACTTAAAAATATAATTCAATATCCATGGCAATACGTTTCAGTTGGTCGATATCGTCGGAACTTCTGAAAAAAATATTATTGATTTTCGAACTTCAAACGAAATTATTTTTTCTTTTATTTCTTGTATTTTTTCAGTTGTTGTTTTTGATTCTAGTATTCTATTTCGCGAGTTGCTCAAATTCTAGATTCTCTTTGAAATGAAACAAGATTGAATTTTTATATCAAACTGTTACAATCAAATGAAATTCATGTAACAATAATCATTTCTCTATTGACCTTAAAGGTACACGTCGAACCTTAGATTTAGCTAAGCTAATCGGTAATAGTGTTCACAGCTCAATGTTGAAATTTGAGTCTATGTGTGTCCAGAATTATCCATGTTAAAGATATAATGACGACTCGCCTTATATAGAAAAGACATACATAGAAATAGAAAGTAAAATTCCTAGTTTGAGGTATATTTGAAGGAATAATCTAGTACTTGTGAAAACTATTTACATTATATTAAAGACCAAAATCAACCCCCCTCCCCACCCACCCCCCCCCCCCTCCCACCAAACAAAAAATGGCCGACCATTATTTTGAAGCTGACGTAAACTCTCCTTTTATCGAATCAATATTGGGGAATTATGAATATCGCAAAAGAAAATAAATTTCAACAATTATATGAAACTTTCTAAAATTCCATTTTCATTGGAATCAATAATTATTTAATTATTCAATTGTCAGTGAATGTCAGGTGTCAACTTGCACTTGCAGGAATCTCTTCTCTCAATAAAATTCCAATTTAACCTAGACAATGGCAGCAGTTCCAATGACTACAGTTTAGTTGTGGCTAATAGCATATAATCAAGGCGATACAATGGAAATTGTCAATCACCCGAGTCAATATAAACTGTTTTCCATTCCCAATAAACCAACGTGGATGAAAAACATTGGACTAAGTGATTTGAGAGGATTTTATTTACTCTCAAATGACTGAGTTTCAGAGCTTGATTAAGTTAAAGTATTATATTGTAATAGTGATAGAGAAACGAGGATTTTGTAAGCCAGTATCGATGTCTTTTAAAACACCGAAACGGGCTAAGATGGGAGTCGCCATCTTGAATAATCGCAAACTGTTTTGTAATTCGGCTGATAAAATCTATTCATACAGGTTTTCTATTAACTTTCATATGACTGAGTCTCAGATTTTGATTCGAGATTTGTTGACTCTGACTTTTTCCCATGGGTGCCACCATCTTGAATAATCGCCGTCTATTTTGTGATTTGTATGATTCATATTTAGACATGGAGGTATTATTTTTTACTTTCATATGACTTAGTTTCAGAGCTTGGCTGAATTGGAATGTTATGACGCCGTTCTAACAATACCGTTTGCAATCGTTCTACAGTCAAAGTTCCACTTGCACTCAGCATGCGGATTCAGCGTTACGGAAACTTCCGAGAAATACCGAATGTACGCCAGGAGCCTATCATGAAAACACATCGAGGGTTATTCTTTTTAATTCAATATTTCAGCCCAAAACTAATTTCCAACGAAAAAAGAACAATCGTTTTGAACGTCGGAACCCTTACCGTAGATACACTAAACGGCAATATATTGGGAATCGCACTTCTACACGAACGATCATTCCAGTGTGAACCTAAAAAAGAGCAATCGTTTCGAACGCCAGAATCCTTACCGTAGATACAGTAAATGACAGCACATTGGAGATCCAACTTCTTTGATAATCTGCACGAACGCTCATCACAGTATGTACCTAATTAGGTTCGGCTAATCATTTTGAACGTCGGGACCCCTGAGGTAGATACACCACGTGAAAACACACCGCGGATTAACCTGTTTGTTTCATTAACAAAGCAATAATTATCTATGGTGATTAATTATTTATAGGAACTAGGTCACCCGGCTTCTAAATGTATATTATTAATTATTCCATAAAGTAGTTGTACGTAATCAGAAATATGAATGAGAATTGATACTATGGCGATGAATGAACTTCTTTTTTTTGTCAGAATCTGAATTTTTTAACGTAATGCTATTTATATGATAACAATTCCTGCAGGCTTCACATAACACGGTTTTGAAACTGAGACAATAGTTGGCTCAGCTTGGGGATTTTCTGAAAAAATTGATACGAAATAATAATAATAATGTGTATTTCTATAGCGCTAAACTCCACACAAAAGTGTGCTCATAGCGCGGACAAAAAAGGTATAAAGACTAACAAGAGTCGAATAAAACAGTTTTCACTTTGTTTTTGAACATTTTGAGTGTTGGCAAGGATTTTAGACTTTCTGAAGACACAAGGAGGTTATTCCAAACGTTGGTTGCGGCCAATGAAAAAGCACGGAAACCATACGTTTTCATGCTATAGTTTGGCACTTGTAGTAGATTTTTTTCGCTAGATCTCAGATTTCGTGTAGGGACTTTCTTTGCAATAAGATCAGTCAGGTATTCTGGAGCCATGTTTGAGGTACATTGGTAAGTCAAAGGGGCGATTTTATAATCGATCCACTTCGATACTGGCAACCGATGGAGCTTTTTCAGAATTGGTGTAATATTCGACCGACCAGACGTGAAAAATTGCTCGAAAATAAACATTATTAATTTCACGGATTATCACAATTTCATTCAACTAAACGTCACAAATTTGAAAAAAAAAATTGACGTTAATATCTTTATTTTACCGTGAAATGTTAGTTAACTATGACGTTTCATGGCGAAGATCTTACTGAATTCTTTTTGGGGTAAATTTGGCGAAATGTTTAAGAAATGGTTAGAAAGCTTGCACGTTACTAGTACAAATAATGTTTCACTATTTTTTAATGAACTCTTTGAACTGTTAGACACTTTTAGGGGTTAATAAGTCAACTTGAAAAAAAAATATAATCGAAAGAGTAATTGAAAGGAAATGATTCGCGGAAGCCGATCTTTAACCAAATTGGTTCGATATGTTTTATTTTGATTTCAAATTTTTGAATTGTTGAGATGTCTTCAGGCATTAGGTATTGATTGCAATAATTTACTATCAACCACTTGCAGTGCATCGACGGAATTAATATTCGATAATTTTTCAATTGGCGTTTCCTATAATAAACTCTAAAACAATTTGAGTACTATGGTCGGCGTCTCTTTATCTACCCGATGTCAATGTACTATGGATGGCGTTTCTAATGAAATTAGGACTAGTATAAACTTCAGAGAGGTGAAATTAGTGTGAGATTAGGAAATTGGGGGGTTAGAAGCACTCAAATACCAGAGATGTGGGTTGGTGCTTAGGTTCGAATCCCTCAAAAACAGTTGTCTTACATGCACCAAAGTCCCAATGCTTAGGTTCAAATCCCCTGCATACTTGCATACAAGTCCGACTGGTTATGAGATTCGAATCCCCTAGAATAAAGATGACTTACCTGTACTAAGTTCCAAAGGTGGGAGGCTTGAGCTGTAGCCTCACTGACTGGAGAACAACCAGCTCCAATTATTAACAGTTTGGTCGGTGGAGAGTACAGATTATCATACATCACTTTAATACCTTGACCTGGATCGCACTGAAATTAGTAAGACAATGAAATTATTGGGCGGAAGAAGAAGGGAGTTTTACGTCTTTGATGGACTGATACCTTGATGATCGCACTAGCATGGGCAAACAAGGTGGGATTTTTATGTCGTTCGTAGCTGCACCTTCTTGGACTCTCGAAGACAGTTATGTGCCAAAAAACAAGCATGATGAATCTTCATAAATCTTAGCAGATCCTTAATCAGGATTGGTCTGTTTTGATTTCTTAGTACACAACACTAGAGGATGTAAAGGGCGTAATAACTCACCATTGTATTATTATATATTAAATTAAGTCGATATCCAGGCAGTATGTAATCGTGTTTGTTGACATGTTCTATAGCTATCTCAGCACTAGTCAGCATACCGTAACCACCACGCCAAGCTATTCCATCAAATGGGAACAAGCCAAGTATATAAAGATCATCCAAGGCTGATATTGCCCTCAGACACGTGGTTAACACGAACACTAATAACATCATTCCTATTCTAATTTAGGCTACCAGAGAATTATCAGCATCTGAAATAGAAAGGGAGTTTCTTATTAAATCAACATACAAGTAGAAGTATGCAAATCCAAAAATGATGATACGACGCTTGTGAATGAAGGAGTGATAAGGGATGATGAGGAATGATAAGGAATGATAAGGAATGATGATGGTGAATGCTGATTAAGAATAGTGATTATGAATAATGAATGAATTCTGAATGAATGATTGATAAATGATGATGGATTGTGGGTGGTTAAAAATAAGAGATAATGAATGATGAATGATAGTTAAAAGTTCTGAATGATAATGAATTCGAGTGATTCTGAATGATGAATGATGGTGGATAATGAATGATGATATAGAGGTGAATTAAAGAATAGTTATGAATGATGAATGAATGATAGATTGTGAACGTTGAATGATAAGAAATGATAAATGGGAAATTTGGTATATGTTGATGATGAATGAATGATGGATGTGTGAATCGTGATAAATGATGAACAATTGATGAATGATGATGAACGAACAGATAAATGAGATTAACAAAAGCTCCTTTGCGACACATACTGTTTTAATAGATTGTTTTTCAATACAATTAACACTTTTCTAATTCAAAACATAAGCTGGTAAAAAATGATAAAAATAAGTCTGTTATTTTTCTTGAATATAATTTCTATTATATGAGAATTTATTGTGTTCTTAATGATAACAAGTTTATATTGATCGGAAGGGAGGTGAAATATTATCACAAGTGCATTCTACTTTACCTTCAAATTTCTTCATGGAAAATATTTATTGGAAAAAGAAATGAAATTTGAGATATTCCTGCCAAAACCTAAGGTGACAAAAGAAATGTAATTTCTGTCAAAAACAAAAATGGAAAAATTAAATGAAAAAAAGAGTAAGTTTTTTGCCATTCCTTACAAAAAAGGTACTTCCGGTTGTGCCAAAATGTTCAATCTGATATCAACTTCAAGGTCTAGTTCTCGATCAAGTCAGAAATATTTCCGTTTCAGTTTGTCTTTATGACTAGATTTAAAATAAACCAGTTCTTGTGATTACAGTTTTAATGGCATGGAAAAGGTAAGTTATAGCTAATATAACAGCAGGTACTGTCTAGAGTTGATTGATGAAATGGGCAATATGATCAAAATGCCATTAGATGTTACATACAAATTAGACTTGTGGACTCTCTAAGAGATTCATCTGTAAATATACCATATAATCGTATTGGCTATGTGGACCCTCCAAAAGTGATGCCAACTTGACAAACCTAAATACCTAATATTAACGCGTGTATATCTAATTAAAGACGTGCTGAAAGTGTGTTTTTATTGTAAGAAGTACTATGTAACCAAAGAGAGATTCTATCGGATAGAAAAGTGCGGCAAGGCGAATATATAACTTTAAAGACGACAGTATATGAGAAATATCAGGAAAAATAATTAAAACTTGTATAAATATAGTCAAATTGGGCCTAGGGGTTGAACTACCATATTGTTGAACTAAAAGTACTGAAAGCTTAAATTACTCAGTAGTTTCTATAGACAAATACAATTTCTAAATCGACACGTTCGCTATCCATGTGATTGATCTCCGAAAATATTACTTTTTTTTAGCTAAGCCAATCAGTAAAGTCTCACAGCTCACCGTCCATGTGTGTCCAGAATTATCCACGTTTGTAAGTTAAAATGACGACTCGTCTTTTCTTGAGACATCTATAGCAATAGAAAGAAATTCCTAGTTTGAGATATTTTTGAAGGAATTCCGTTCATTTCAAGTACTCCTGAAGACTATTTATAAGCCAAATTAACACCCGAAAACGCCGAACATGGCCTTTAAGATAAAAAAAAAAAGAAAACGATTTTATATGAACGGCTACAAAATTGCCAAATTTTTTAACTTGGATATGAACCCATCAACTATCCTATGTGGGAAATCCCGTCGTGACGTCATTTCATGATTTCATGAGTCCTGTAACGACATGTAAACCAATACAACCGTATAGATCAAACACGTGAAAGTTCTGCTAGCGCTTTGCAAATATTAACAGATTTACGGAAACTGTCGAGGATTACCGAATGCGATACAGGAAGGATGAGAGGGGCGTTTAATCCAATTTAATCCTCTCAGAATAATCGATAAAATATAAACAAATAAAACATTTACATTAATTGTATACACTAATACTGAAAGAATCCAGCTTATGAAAAAAACTGAATCCTCTTTTGTTTAATCCTTTCTGTCCTACATCGAAGTCTTTGGTCGAGAGAACTATTATTTTTATACCTTTAGGCAAATCTGATACATTTTCTATATGAATTTTAATTAGACGGTGTGGTTTTATAATCAAATAAAATTAGAGCTTTGAACTAATGAAATGAAATGGAGTTTTATATCCTACTGTTTTGTGCCTTAATGGACTAATGAAATGAAATGTAGTTTTATATTCTACTGTTTTGTACCTTGTTGGACTAATGAAATGAAATAGAGTTTTATACCCTACTGTTCTGTATCTTATTAGACTAATGAAATGAAATGGAGTTTTATATCCGATGAAAACTAAACCGTCAGTCACACAAAAATAGAATCAAAATTCGTCAACTTACAATTCCTAGAAATTCCGATCAGCTTGAAATCATATAATGGAATTAAAAAGTCACAAAACTACGGGATTCTTACAGCTAAAATTTGTTGTTCCTACAAATCCAAAGAGAAGTCGCACCAAAACTATTCTGATTTCTAGTATAGATTCATAATCCATATACAGAAAAACAGCCATAGACCTACACCGTCGTTCCAAGGCACGTAATCTGCATGTAGTTCAAATTTGACAATGCTTTGATGCCTCTTTGAAAAGCTTGGTTCAATTGACACGGTTTCAATGAAAATGTTGCTAGATATCCAACACACTTATATGAATTCGTTGTCTATTCACAAACAACTTAGCTGTTATGCACTATTGTTCGGGTCCACAAAATCTGTTTATGGTCCACAAAAGTCAAACTTTAAGAATTCGATTCAATTCCGCTTAAAAAATCAAGCTTCTTCCTTCGGTTCCGATGTAAATTCGCTAAAATATCCTTCGCGTTCGTTCGGATTGGCGTAATGCGTTTGTGGTCAACAACAGTCGTTCGAATTCATGCGTAACGTGTCTGTGGCTCATAGCAATCAAGCATAGGTCGCTAAAAATTATTTTGAATTCCACTCAAAAAATCAAAATTCCTCCCTCGGCCGATGAAAATTTCGCTAAAATATCCTACTCATATAAAAAGTCGCATTCTTTCGGGTTAACGTAACGTGTCTGTGGTTCACAGCAGTCAAGCTCCGGTCGTTAAAATACTCAAGAGTTCAAGCCTCTTAAATACGTTTTCTTGTCCCTCATATTCTAGTGTCACCTGATAACCACACCTTTTTAACGATCCCGAGTCTCTCTATAGACCTATTAAAACCAATATAGAGAAGATTTCTATTCGATATACTGAATGAGAGTTATATTGTGAATCAGATAAACTACACTGTAAAACTTGTCTGTTAGACTTGTCGGTAACATTTGTAGTTCTATGGAACTGGGTTTTATATCCTACTGTTCTGTACCTTATTGGACTAATGAAATGAAATAGAGTTTTATATCCTACTGTTCTGTACCTTATTGGACTAATGAAATGAAATAGAGTTTTATATCCTTATGTTCTATATCTTATTGGTCTAATGAAATGAAATGGAGTTTTATATTCTACTGTATCTTATTGGACGATTATGAACAAATTTATGCTTTCTCTCAATTAGACCATGATGGTGCAGAAAAATAGGACGTAAAACTCCATTCATTTCATTGCATTCCAATTCAGATAGACCATGCCTTCTGTCCGCTAGAGTATGTCTTCTATGAACATGTGTCAAGTCAAGGACATCACCTTCCATATGCCTGACCGGTATCCATGCTAGATCTACCCATCCACACCTGAGATGAACCCTCCCTATGCGAGGCCTGTCCCTCATATGTCAGACTTATACCCTCTCCCAACTGGCTTATGACCACCCAACCCCCCCCCCCCCCACCCCTCTATCAGCTAGGCTATGCTTTCTCTAATCTATACCATTCCTCGCCTACGAAGTACAGGTCGTTTTACAGTGCAGACAATGAAGATATCTATCTAAAAATCACCGTAAACGTTTTCCAATTAGCCTTCTGTGGTATTTTTAATCAACTGATAGGCAAAATGGCATTTTTTTCTTGGATGATTTCAATTATCGGAAAGGAAATCATCCTAAGAGTCAATCACTAACACTTTGATAGTTTTCTTTTGAAAAATATTTTAGTCATTTCACTTTCATTAACAATTATTTTTAATCAAAGACACTTTTGTTCTAGAACATCAAAGTAAAACGACATCAAAAAGTTTGTGTCCTATTTTATTCATATTCAATACACTCAACCTTTTCGGACTAAATTTAGGCATACATTCATAGGCCCAGACCTACATAGGGGCTGATTATGGAGCGCTACGTGGGAGAACTACAGTGATGGTCTTTATCAATTTTGACTATAGTCAAAGGGAAGTAACTGTATCTTATTATTCGTCGCGAGTAACTCGCGTCTGTTACCGGAAGTTGACATTCAACACGTGAGAATTATTGAAAAATAAAAACAAAGTGAAAAACGTGTACAATGAGGCCTTTAACTGAAGATGAAACCAAAATTTTCTTTGAGAAATTGTCGAAATAGTGAGTTAGGTTATGTTATTTGAAGTCGAGTTTCGAAAATTAACCCACATTTAGTTTTGTACCGTTATCAAACAGAATCCCGAATAGAGAATATCTATTTGAAAGTCTTCTGCAGAGAAAAGATCTCTTGCCTCTTAAAAGAGGAGTTTTGTACAATAACAAACCTTTTCCAAAAACACTAAAGGGTATGGATTTACCATTTGACAATTTGTAACTTTTAGTTTAGCAATGATTTGTATTTTCTGCTTTCAGTATAGGAGATAATATCAAACTATTATTAGACAGACCTGATGGTAATTTCTGTTTCCGACTTCAAAAAGACAGAATATTCTATGTCAGGTAGGAAAATGATATGTCCATATATGAACTTATGTACTATAAGCTTTAGGTTATATCTTCAGCTATCTTATTATCTATGTGAACTCTCTGAAAGGGTAGATAGTATGTATGTAATTTTGTGATATATATGTTACAGAGAGGACATCATGAAGAAAGCTACGTGTGTGGATCCGAAACATTTATTAAGTATTGGTACGTGTTTTGGAAAGTTTACTAAAACCAAGAGAATAAGGCTCCATATTACAGCTTTAGATTATTTAGCCCCATATGCCAAAGTAAGTGTTTTTACATTATATGGTCTAGGTCACAAGTATTAGGTGTTATAGAAGATAATCTCCTACAAAAGCACTGGCCTCTGTCACTAGAAGAGAATATTTTAGACTTCTATTATCAGTGAAAGTATCAGTAATATAGGAATAATCTACTTTACTGAGTACAGAAAGAAATAGTTTAGACTTTTTAGAGGAATTCCTCTATTTTTCTGGCCATTGTTTTTTTTTTTTTTTTTAAAAAACCTTTTAAAATTTAGTTTTAGGAATGAAAAGATTTCTGTATGGGAAATGACTTCCAAAGCATCTTAAAATGGTTAAATCTCTCCCTATACCTCACACGAGAGTCTGTGGCCCTCTTTACCTTCACCTGATATTTTCCATTTCCTCTATTTTATTCATTCCTCGCAGTTAATTGGTATTTACTCTATGTTTGTCTTTTCAGTTTAAAGTATGGTTAAAGCCAAATGCAGAACAACAGTTTTTATATGGTCATCATGTCATGAAGGCAGGGTTGGGCAGAATTACTGAAAATACCTCACAATATCAAGGAGTTGTGGTTTATAACATGAATGACCTCCCTTTAGTAAGTATAGGATTTTCTCCCTTATTAAGGTTATGTTGCCTATTTGATGGGGATTAATACATCTCATTAGGTGTCAACAGCATGAGTAAAATCAATTAACCAAGAACTAATGATTCAACTGCAAAACAAAACCTGAAATCCAAAATAACATATCGGCGAAAAATTTGAGCTCTAATCAATAAGCTAATATTAAAACCTATATTGGAACGTTAACCTCCAAGCCCACCTGATGAGGATTGTGTATCCGAAACGTGTCAGTATCATGATATGAGCTCTAATCAATTGATAATTTTATGCTTCAGGGTTTTGGAGTGGCAGCCAAGTCAACAGAATTATGCCGTCAGTGTGATCCTATGTCTATAGTAGTATTTCACCAGGCTGATATAGGGGAGTATATTCGCAGTGAGGAGATGCTCATTTGATTTGTTATTTTCAAATTGTAAATATTGTACATAATAAAAAACAAAATACTTAAATAATCATAAGTTATTGTTTACTCTCTAGAAAGTAAGCACAGTAGCCAGTAAGCAGTGGTGTTTGTAGTCTGTAGTTTATGGGCCATGCCCCCCTCCCACCTCAGACTCCCTGAAAGTGAAAATTAATCCTTTTTGTTTCTCAAATCATCTCAGCCAATCTGAAATCGGTTATGGCCTCTGGAAGCCTCTAGACTTTGTGTCTAAAAGGAGTTCGGGCTTCACCTCAGAGAAACTCCTCTCTATTATGGTTCCCACCCCCCCTCCCCGAACCCCAAGATCAAACTTTTATGAACCCATCACCTCACAGAAGAAACACCATTGTTCGGGCTATGTCCGACATAGAATCGTTACCGTTAAGCTCCACCATAAAACTACCACTGACAATGTGTCATGGATTCATTTCCAATAGTCTGCACAAATTCACTGTCGAATAGTCACTTGAACACGTGTATTGTGGTTGTCTCCCCTGATGACTTCTTCATAACTCGGCGGACAATCTTCTGGAGTGTATTCTGGTGGATTAACTACATGTACTTTGGCATCTTCTGAAATACAGCGAGTAAAATATGAATTAATGCCTAAGTTTTGTCTAAATTTGAACTCTCCCACTGTATTGGTATTTTTCCTTGAGCAAACCATCCTTTTGAGTAAATGGGAAATTCACCCTTTAGTGAAACAAAAATGAAGAAAATGCTCTACGATCCTTGGATACTAGTAGCTCTTAAGAATACTAGCAAGTTACCCTAATAGAAGCTCCTTTTACTACAAATGCTCTAGGGACTATGGATATATGCGACCACAAAAGAACAGTAAACTATGCAACATGTAGTAGGCCTATACGACGAAAGAGTTGACAACCCAAGTCGCAGAATGGCACTAGGTTACCTTACCTTGTATGTTTATAAAGTTAGTTGGTAGCTGAATGACGGCTGGATATTTTCTCTGTTGCTTTTTCCAATAACAGCAATATAAATACAGTATAGCTATGGACATCAGAGCTATCCCGGACACCGCCAGGCCAGATATCAACCCAATACTGAAACAGAATATCAAGAAAACGAAAATGACTAAATCGTGTAAAATAAGGTCTGTGTGAGCAATTGTAAGCAATAAAATTCATATGTCTGGTATCTTTCATCAGGGGCTTTGAGGGAGTGAAAAAAAGTCTAGTCGTTCGGATGGGAAAATATTGATCGAAGCTCCGGATGTGCCATCTAAAGATGCCTCGACTGTTGGAAATTGAAAAAGAGTAGGCTAATTCTGCTGTCCAAGCAAAAAGATTGCTCAGTGCACACACTGCATTATGAGGAGCTGCCTAATGCCCCCCCCCCCCCTCCCCCTCCCCCCTTTGTAGGAACGTCATATGTGCTGAAAATACGCACCGGCCCTTTCCAACAGAAAGTTATAACTTACTTGGCAGAGGTGCAACACGAAGTCTTTCCACCGAACTGACAACAACCATGATCACAATACTCCGCTCTCTTACTCTTTCCAAAGAAATGAACATCGTACACGTCTATTTTACACATTTCTCCCAAAAACCCTGAAATCAAAATTAAATATTCTTCATATTCTAAATCATATATGTATTTGAAACTAAATGGAGTTTTGCGTCCTACTTTCCTGTAATAAATGGGAATCATGTTCTATTCTTTTGACCTTGGCCAGTGCTTCTATAGAAGATTATTTTCTACAACAACCAACACTGACGAAGACAGACATAAACGCAGAAATGTTTTGTCTGTTGATACCAAAATGCTTCCCAGGAACACTTATTGAAATGAAATGAAAAAATATCGTTTCTGGATTGTTTTGAAATGAAAGGAAATGAAACCAAACTACGACATTGTGAAATGAAATGAAATGAAACATACGTGCAAAATTAAAACAGCATTGCGACACTGTGAAATGGTTGCAAATAAAGCATAAAACATACCTGCAACATTGTGAAACGAAATCAAATGAAAACAAAATAGAAACTTCAGAAGAACTGTAACATTCATATACTCCATTGCAAGCAAGTGTCAAATGAGATAAAAACACTACATGTACGTATTCAAGTTCTTTTCATTCTACCTTGAAATATAGTTTTCATCTCAAAACTGGCTATGCCTAGGGCGATAAATATAACTTTTGATTTACAACCTTGTCGTTTTGGGACAATGACAGTGTTCTTAATGGATGACATGCGACCGAGGGCAGGCTAATAACACGGAAGTACATGAAGACAAAACAGGTTTTCATCTGTTTGTTGATGAAGTTTTAGCAACAAGTTCTTTAAGGAGCTGGCTGTAAGGCAGTCGGCTAGAGTATTGGAATTTTACGTCATAAGCTTGTTTTTACTAGGTAGCCGTCGGAATTTCTGTTTGATAATTGATATGGAAGAATTATATTATCTAGTATAGCTTATATTTAGTCTCTGATACCTATATCATACTGAAGAATCGTCATCCAAAATTGTGCATCTCTATAGGCTAAAGAGCGCAATAGAATACCAGCTAATAGAAATTTACCTGTAAGTCATGATGAAAGAGACTACATTCTAATTAACCAGTCTGATAGTAATATTTATTTGTAGGTCATGATGAAAGAGACTAAACTCTTCTCATTTGATGAAGATTAACCAGTCTGATATTATAATTTACCTGTAAGTCATAACGAAAGAGACTAAACTCTTCTCACCTGATCACGATTAACAAGTCTTACAGTGACAATAGGACTCAGGAAACTAGGTCAATATTGTCGACCGTTAACAGGTATTTTTGGGACACAAAATGGCGGAACAGGAGACGCTTCTAGTCTTTCTCTCTATAATTACAGGTAGGCTTTGGACTTTGGAATTTTTATACGTCCGATTTGTCAATTTTCTGATGCGTTATTGGAGGGCAATATCAGAAATTTCCGTGGTATATTCGTTTGTCGTCGAGTAATAACATCATATTTGACATTAGTATCGTATTAGTCATAAGATGATTTGCAGTGTGATACATCTAATTAAATATTTAATTGTGATCTAAAACTTAGCAAGAAGTATTTTTGTGACTATTTTGCCAAGATCTGTGAAGGTTCTTGAAAAGGTATTATAATAAATTGACCAGATATGTCCAACTTATAAGCTCTGGAGATTTCAAAGAATTTGAACTTTAGTCCGTAATCATTCATATCATATAGTGGTCATAGTTAGTAAGCAGGGCAAACCCACTCTACCGAAACACCCGATTTCACTCCCTGACTACGTTTGTCAACTGCCTCTCTTGAAAGTTCTGAAAGAGTCGTTTTATAGAAAAGTCGAAATTTTTTTTTTTCGAGGCATTGAAGGGCAAATTTCTTCGTCATAGGCTGAGTTCAAATGTGAAAATAATCCTACAAAATCGTGAAACAAATCATGAATCAGTTAACAATTTCGACCCAGAACATTTTGAAAACAACATTCATGACAGATGACATAGCATGTCAATGGGGTCATTCTATTGAGGGTCCACTATTGACCCTGGGCTTACACAACTGTCAATTAAAGTTAGCCCCTCCCCTAGGCGATATTTAGTCATCAATATATAAAAACTAAGTACCTGTCAATTGAAGTATATAGGTAAAGTTATCAATCTAACTTGAATACTTTTGAAAGATAACAACTGTTATTTGTCCACAATAGGTGTATTATTATTTTATTGGCAAGGGGCGAGACATGCTTGTTCCTTCAGCTTACCAGAACACTTACTACAAATTAGAGAGTCCACATAGCTAATATTATTATAGTACTTAGAATTATTAATTCCGACTTTTTTTTTTTTTCTTTTTTTTTTCTTCGAAAGCAAAGATCCTATTTAAGATTGTTAATTCAATAATTTTTTCAGATAGTCCACATAGCTAAAATTTGTATTTTTGTAGTTTGGTTTATCATCACTTAGCATCATCTTAAGAGAGTCCACATAGAAATAATGTTTATTTGATATCTTGGTTTTGTCTGTCAAGTTCAAATATCCAATGAAATGTATTTGATATTTTGTTTTGTACACTTAACATAACTTTCAGAGAGTCCACATGCTTCTGTTTTAAGGTTTGTCATATTATTGACACTACATACGAGAGTCCACATAGCTGGTATATTTGGTTTTCTTGTTAAGAGTGTCCACATGGCTAATATTCGATATATATTTATTGCAGGTGTACTGAGCTATCAATGTGCGAAATATGAGAAACTATTCGACCGACAGCCGACGTATATCACCTGCTCGTTTGACTGTTGTGGTATCAGTAGCAACAGGCATTGCTGTACTCCGTAAGTATCCACTTTGACAAGGGCGATAACCCATCTTGCCTTTAAATGAATTTATGGAAAACTCAGTCTCTCATACAGAGTTGTCGTCCATTGCAGTCTCTTTCGGTTGCTGTTAACGTCTCAAAAGTAACTCAAGGCGTTAACAAAAATTGAAAGGTCCTCCAAGGACGGACAACTCTGAAGTTTGAAATATTTTCAAATCCGTCTAAATCTCACAAAGATAACGCACCCGCACTTGACGCTTTAACTACCATTTGTACTGAGACAAGACAGAAGGATTCATTCATTTATTGTTTGACTTTCAGAGTATGGATTGTGTTACTGTTTGTAGTATTAGGGATAGCAGTTGTAGGTATAACAGCTCTGACCGTGTATTGTTTATTGAAACGATCCAAAAAACAATACGCCAAAAAACACGCTACTGGTTTTGGTGAGTAGAAATTTGTACGAATTCGCAAGCTACGGAAGACACAAGATGCTATTGTGCCCGTCGCATTCTGCTATAAAAGACTTAGAAAGCTGCTATTGTACCAATCGCGATCCGTTTAGGAATTAGAATGGAAAAGGACAATTCATCAGTGGTTATTCCCCTTTGAAATTTACAATCAAACATCCAGTGTCTCTAACTACTAAAATACGTCATCACGTGTCTTGTCCCATCATGACCCCCCCCCCCCCCCCCCTTCCTTTAACCTTTACATGGGGTGGACTCTGTGTCGAAGTTTCATATGACTTTACATTTAATCAAATTTTCAGGTAAATATCCCGAAATCAGGAGACAGCATCAAAAACACCATCGTAACGGTAGTCATGGCGGGAATAAGCCGTCTGGTGGAAATGGCGGGAGAAACGCCAGACGTGATAAAGAATATGAGGCCAGGGAACAGAGGGAATATGAACAGAGAGAAATGAGTACCTTCAATAGTTAACTCACGCCCTCCAACTCCAGCCTGTAAATACTTTTCATTCATTTTTCATTCCATGGGCGTATCGTAAAGGTCGTAGATCAACGTCATCACCTGAGCAACACAAAAATGAAAAAATGCCCTCACATCAAAGCGATCACCAGTTTCGAATAATGGTTAAGCTGATTTAAATCAAAGTTATTAAATGAATTAATCGTTTTTTATTTGTATGACTTTCATTCATATGTACTTGTATATTATATTTGAATACTTGTCCCACTTTAATAGAAACGCAGACTGAAATAGTTTAGTTGATTGAAGATAATACAGCGTGAAACTCTAAGTAAGAACATGTTTCAGGTTCTGTTTTAATATTTCTAGCTTCCCTGTGTGATATATATGTAATATATAGTTCTATAATCAAAATCTCGAAGCAAATCCGATTGTTTGACGTGTTTTATTACAAAGAAAAGCCTCTGATACTCGGTTTGGTGCAAAATTGTAGAACACTTCTACAGAAACTACCCAATGCTCTTTTTCCTTTATATCTCTTATTTTATAGTCGAGCAGCCAAGTGATAAATTGGTACATTTAAGGATACTAGTATTCTATTCTCTTTATATAACATTTTAGTAAAACATGCAAAAGCTCAATATGGCTGCCAATTTTAATTCCAATATGGCTTCCATTTTTAATTCCAATATGGCTACCATTTTTAATTCCAATATGGCTACCATTTTTACCATAGCTGCCGTATTTTAATTTAAATATGGCTGCTATTTTAGAATTTCAAATTAGCCACCCAAGGCGGCCATTTTTTTTTCAAGATGGTTGTCATATTTGAATTTCAATGCAAAAATGCTTCTGGTTTGCTCAATGTTTTACCACGGTACAGTGGTGGAGCCAGGTTTACATCCGAGAGGATGCGAAATATCTGAGATTGCCCGGATTTCTAATTTAGTTATGCCCCTTTGGCTCCGCCACTGCCACGGTCATGTTGTTTTTAAAATGTTTTGAATCTTGAGTGGTCCTTCGCTCGACTTGACCATACATCAAACTGTAAATAGAAATCTTGAGTTTTTATATTATCTATATTATCGTATACAGAATCTCTGTTCATAGTTTTATATATAAATCATTTTCTAATAAAATATTTCACTGTAAAGACGTCTTCTGATTTCCTAAAGAAACGGCTTTGAAAATCAGTAGGTAAATAAAATAGGCTTTTACTTCCTTGTCTTCTGCATCAGATTGGGTTCAGAAGACGTCCAACGCCATGCAGTGTACAAAGATGGAAAAGTTACCAGGACAGTCTAATCTTTGCACAAACCCAAACGACAAGTCTTATGTATTGTTCCACCAGCCGACAAAATCATATCATTCTGGATCATTAGTGGCGGATTGAATGACGTAACCCCCTACACCAGACCCCGACCCCCCCCCCCCCCCCACCTCCCACCTCCCGGCTTTAACAGAATTATATAAATCATCCATTTAGCTTTCTTCAAAATCAATTCCTGGTCCTGTTTTTGTCGAATTACTAGTTACCATTGCTTTTTCAAACTAATCAATGTTTGATAATCGAGGCTTTAATGGTGTTTATCTCCCTTCGATAAGGCTCTCTAGTCAGGAAATCAAGTATGGTAATTCACATTGACTCTGGCTACATCGTGTGAATTGGTGCCTTTCATGGCGGAATTTCAATTAGAATTGAAATTGAATATAAGTTTAAATATTTACAATGAAAATAATACAAAAAAAAAAACAAACAAAAAACGAAAACTGCCGAAGATTGCCGAATGAATAGACTGATGACTAAAAGCCAAAGATAACAACCTATTAATCATATTTCGAGATATCTTATCTTTAAATTGATAAATCATGATCCTGTAAAATATTTTATACCCAAACATGTTCTTTAAATATATATTGTAATTTGATAGGCTTATAGTTGATTCAGCATTCTATTAGGCTTAAAGTGGCGGTAACAGGTTTCTAAAGTTTTTATGTATATCAGGGAAAGCATTGATTTCAACCATTCCAATTTTCAATCAGACGTTTGTTGTTCTTGCATCATTCTATTGGTGGTAACAGTTTTTCTAAAGTTTTTATGTGTATCGGGGATGGTGATAGCTTCAATTTGCACCATTCAAATTTTCAATCAGACGTACACGTGGTTAATGTTTAAAGGGGCAGTGCTGCGATAATTCACTGCACATTTCGACATGTCCATATCATAGTGATATGAAAGATAAGAAAGCCACAAAGTTGAGCCCCAATGAAATATCCATTCCACTGAGACCCTGGGCTAGCTATGGGCTCGGTCTCTGCTGGGACAATAAAGCGAGACCACACGTGCCCAAAACGGCCTCGATTTAAAAATAGCAAGTAGTAGACAAATTCCATTTTCGATGCCAAATTTCCTTCATTGCACACTGCCCTTCATCTTAACGTGTATAGCAAAATAGGACGCAAAACTCCATTTCGTTTATACAACCAATGCAGCAATATCAAGTGTTATCCTAATATTATACGTGTACTATATTTTGGAAACTGTAGAAAAGCAGGACGTAAAACTCCACTCTATTTCCAATAGACTACAGAAATATGAAAGATGATATTTTAAAACATCAGTTAATGTTGTTAATGGTAAAAGTCAATGATGACAGTAAAATACATTAAATACTTCTCATCATATTGATGTAGGGAATTATTTCAACTAGGATCATATTACCCCTTGCTTTTATCCATAATATTTCATACAGATTCAAAATTTAAGAGTGGTTTTTTGGATCTTTTGTGTTTATCAAGAACAGTAAAGAGTCCATCTTGGTTCCTGAAGATTCAAAAGGGTAATTCTAGCCCAGTGGTGTTTCTGACAAACAGGTGAGGGGCTCAGGTTATTCTGTAGATATAAATTAATGAAAAAAATATTTGGGGGGTGCCCCTGGCACCAATTCGCCTTATGACCAACAGTATAATCGGAATTCGAACCTACATATGGCACCAGTTCGCTTAATGACTAGCAATAAGTCAACATTAAACACGTGGTAAATGCTGTAACAGTTCAAAGTTACAATATAACAAATAGAGGTTAATGAATATATTATAGAATACATCAATTAGTCTTAATTAACTAATGAACCTTAAACATTCACCATTACATCTTATTATACACTGTTTGTCCACATGGTCTTTAGTCTCTCACACCAAGACTTCTCCTGGCGAGCATTATATCGTCGAAGCTGAGACTGAGTGATAAAGGCTGCATGGTCTATACTGTTATTCCATCATTAGCTACATAAGCTCTAGATGATCGCGACTTAACTTCTTAATTGCTCGGTCTTACAATAAGCCTTTAAGACGATCAAGAAATTAATCGTCCATTGGGAAAATTTCGCTTGCGCTTTGCAACATAGATTCAGTTTTATGGAAACTGTCGAGGCCGAATTGTCTCTGAAATTCAAGAAATTAAAAATTTCAGTTAACGAAAACTCTACTCTAACCGTGGCCAACTTTATCCAAATAACTGCGTTTGAGCGGTAAATTTTAACCAATCAGAACGGCCTTTTTCATACTAATATCTTATTAAGCGTGTGTTCATATTACCAAAACAAAACGTTAAAATGGCCTCATGCAAAAAGTGTACACTCTAACCGCGGTCTACTTTATCCAAATAACTACGTTTGAGCAGTATATTCTCACCAATCAGAACAGCCTTTTGAGCTGTCAATTTTAACCAATCATACTTATATTTTATCAAGCGTGTGTTCATAAATACAAAACAAAACGTTAAAATGACTTCATAAAAGCGTGTTGATTGGCAAATTTGGAATCACGCGATTAATGGTGGAAATTTCTTGTAGCGAACATGCATTTACAACATTAAGCCACCATGACCCACTTCTAGTTCCAACAGGAAAGTTCTATGATAACCACTCTCCCAGCACCACCCCCCCCCCCCCCCCCACCCCCATATCCATTTCAACCGTCAAGCAGATAGTTGCATAATATATGCATAATGACCCAAATAAAGCTTGATTTATAAAACAATATATTCTGAAATTGACCTTTTCTTTCCCCCAATTTCTCAATTTTCTCAGCCAGTCAAGAATATATTACAATATTTTACCCATTTTCAACAATCCTACAAAATTAACATAACTACAACGTGGACTCTCTGAAATTCATGTCGAGTTGACAAACAGAGACGCGAGGTGCCATCAAGTGATCCAGAATAGTGACGGTGCCAGCCTATTGAGACTGGGTGTACAAATGGGGGGGGGGGGGGGGGGGGTGGTATACGTCCTACTGTTCTGCACCTGATTGGGCTCTGTTTTATTGACCCATTCAAACGTTTGAGGTACGATATGGTTTATACTTGATAATAATTCAAGATGATATATAGACACCCTATTGTATATCAATGTTATATTATGTATTGAATTATAACATATTGTATACAAACAATTGATATACTTCATTAGACGCCGGTTATTTATACACCTGTATCACGTGATGGCTTTATACCGTTAGTTAACGTCACGTGACTAAGCTACTGAACACTATATTGAACTACTGTAGATTCATTCAACAAAACGAAAGTGGCGTCTTAACTTTGTACGGTATTCAATGTTCAGTGTTCAATCAAACAGTGTTCGTGAATGAACTATAAATATGAAACAGTGTTCAAATTGAGTTTTAAAATGAATTGAACTAAAAGTGAAATTCTGTTCTTGATTCAAACAAGGGAATCAACTATAAAATTGTGATCAAATTTGGAATAAATTTGAAAAATTCTAAAAAAAAGAAATTTATGTCCAAACAAATGTTGGACTTGGAATTTTGAATAATTTGTCTTCCACTGAATTTTAATAGTCTCTACCTGTGAACTAGGCCAGTGCTTTTATAGAAGAGTGTCTTCTATAACACATAGGCCAGTGCTTCTATAGGAGAATATCTCACATAACACCAATACTTTCCGAGTGTGAAAAGGGAATTAAAAAAAATCAGAAATATATATCGCCAATAACAGCTCAATTAAATCCTTAACTCATCGAACGTTTTGATAAAAAGTAGTATTATAATATAGCCAATAGAGTGAGGTTGGAATCTAGCCTGATAGAGCAGCGAGTCATGTGGAATTATAGCAGACGATTCCTGATAGTAGCATGTTTCTACTCACTTTCAGGTAAGATTCTAAATTTTGAAGTTCTAACGAGGAATTTGTGGGATATTTGAAAGAGGTGGAATGCGTTAACACTAAGCGAACGTTTTGAGCAGTATAAGCAGTTATATGCTTAAGCTGAATTTCATTTTAAGAACGATTAAAGAATTTGTGAGGTATTTGCACTACCAGAACGCTTTGAGCACTTCAAGGCAATGACATTTCATTCACAGGTATGCGTATATGAGTATTTTCTAAACAAAGGCCTGTTTATTCATGTATAAATGCCGAATTAATGGGGGCACTATGTGTTTTTTGTGATTGAAAATATTTTTTATTCAACCGGTATTCATTGTTTGGGAGAATAATGACTTTAGTATGGTGGGGGGAGGGGTGGTAATATCAACTGTCAAATTAATACATAGTTGTTAAATATTTCCGAATTTCTTAGTATTGTGCGTGTAAAGATAGCGAAGGCCTTCACCTATGTGATACAAGCATATTTCACGATTGGTGAGGTCACCAAACACTTAGTTTTAGTGGAATTGCAAGAACCACAGACGTCTGATTGAAAATCAGAATGGGGCATTCACATAAAGACTAAGGAAACTCCTTTAAAATCCCTTTAAACATAAAGATTGAATATATGGTACCAAACAGATGCAAATGGACGAAATCTGTCGAAAATTATATCCACGATGACGAAGCGATGACAACTATATTGCCCTATGTATAAAATATTTAAACGTGAAAGTTGAATATAAGTTAGTGTATATCATTAAATATGAAATGTATCTATACAAACAGTGGCTTGAGGGCAATAAATTCTCATCTCTTATCTCAGTTTATTTCAAGTCATGACCCATGTTGATTTTAAAATTTTGTAATATTATTCATATTATATAGGTCGGTGACATACCTGGATGTCATCCCGTTGTAGCCATAAAAACGGATGATTTTAGTGCCTGTGCACATTAAATTTTATAGATGATTGTAGT